CGCTTTGGCTGTCTGAGAATTTTGAAGCGCGTTGCCCAAGACGCGAGAGCTTGTTACAACAGAAACCAGGCCCCTAAGGCGTTCGCTACCTTTCGAGATCGAAGACGATGTTAAACCCAGATGACTAATCGTGATCGCGTAATATGTGTGGCACGTGTGACGACACACGTGAGTTCATTGTCCCGTGTCGTGAGGCTCTTTACCGAAATGCCGCGCGTGTCGAAACGCACCCACGTGCGTTATTTGTACGGCCATTTGTTTAATGTTCGCGATAGGTAGAATAATTTAGGGATATTTCGACATCCAGGGGGGATCTCTCAGCGATTTTATAACTCAGCGGCGTTATGACAATCTAGCGTATACATGTGTGTGCGTGTGTCGAAGGCAATCGACGCGGTGATCAGCCGTGAAGCGAATGAAATTTACGTCAGCTTCAGTCTTAGCGGTCTCTCGTCTCTTTCCAATTTAAAGTACGCGAATAAATGTTGGCGCGAATAAAATTTTGCCTATATAATTAGAATATGTTCCATGCATATATTCTCGGTGATTATAATAAAATACAGTCTTAACTCGAAACGTCCTGCAAATCTGTGTGTATTTTAAGGTGAAAAAGCACCTTGCGAAGCTTCACGCGCGCTAAAAGTGTGCTCATAAATTCTTTTCGGAATTCGAATTCTCGCTGGATGGAGTGCATTTAATTTAATTTGCCATCGGCCGCGTTCAGCGGAAGAAGCTGCTTACTAAGCGCTTAGTGATTATCGCTCCTGGTTGGTTCATTCCCTTGGATTCGTTATTTTTCTCACAATTGCGAATCGTCGTTTAATCGATCCTATCATTATCGGATTATGCGAGTTTCACATGACCATGCTGAAGTATCCCTATCTCAGCCTTCCTTTTGCTTTCTTCTACGCGCATTCCGGCTTTAGTTTTTCATTATCACAGTTGCGCAACAATGCGGCATATTTCGTATTCAATTCTACAGATAGCGGCATTTTTGTAGATTCCGTCTCACAGAAATATCCATGCAGAAATGCCACGCTCAGAGGAAATATCCAGGTCACCGTTTCTCGTTTTCATTCGCCCCGACCAGCGGAATAAGAATAATAACGAATATTCCAATTCGCACCGCGACCGAGTTGCGAAATCGCTATTTCTCTAAGATGGCTTTTTTTCGTTCAGCCAGCTCGCTCGCTCACGCGAACGCTGTCCGTGACGCAAATGAGTGCCAATGTCACTGATGCAATCCGCGGGAGATCTGCATATATAGACACAAATCATAATATTTATTGCAATCGCCGATAGAGAGACGCTCATTATTTCCCGGCCAGAGAGAATTCCGCGCCCTGAATCCTCGCGGCGCGCCGCGCCGCGCCGCGCCGCGAGTTATCCGGCTAATTACTCGCGAGGCCGGATTACGGAAGGCGTAATCGGCCTCACGGCAATTAGACAAAACGTCCTATCGTTCGTTCCTCCGGCTCACCCCCGCTCACGCCTGCTCCGCGACGAGCAGTTACGTATACGTGCGGACGCTGACAAAACGGCGATTACGCAATGACGTGCTGCAATTCCCTCGCCTCGGAAGGAACGCACGCGAGCGAGCGAGCGAGCGAGCAGGGCGAGCCTCTCGCGAGTTCTCACGGTGCAGTCGCGCGCTTGAAATCCAATCGGCCCTCAATTCGATGAATTTTGCGCCGGCGCCACGCGAGCTCAGCAGATGAGGTAACACACCGCCTCTCCCGGTCGACACAATCGCGCGCGTGTGCCCTCACGATTCCCCGGCGGCCGGCCGCGGGTTTGGCAATCACCCAGGGTTGGCAGGGTTTTAAACTTTTTCTTTAAAACAGATGTCTTTAACATGTGTTTTAAACATTCGATAATTTTATAAGAAACATACGTTTCTTACCTTTTTTTTAAAGCGTTTAACGTAACTTTTGGACGTGAAATTATCGATGATATAAAGAGTGACCCGAAAAATCGCCTGTTTTCTAGACCTTGAACTTCGAACCAAATTGTGTGCTAAATAAAAATTTATGATGAAATATTACTCGTAGAAAAATTTCAAGTTGAGTCCATTTGTCAGTTTTGAGAAATGGGGGTCAAAGTGGGGCAAAAGGAGGATTAAAAAACGAATGACAGCACACTAAAGTAGAGAGTGTATCCATTTCGAGTCGGAGGTAAAGATATAGTGAATTTTCCAAACTTTAGCACATTTATATGTACAGATACACGTGTATAATATATCTATGAAAAAAATACAGTTTCATAATATATATCTATATATACATGTGTATATACATAAGTAGGATACTCTATAAAAATATAAAATATAAAATATCCACCGCAATAACTTCTCAGGAAAGCATTTTTCAAAAATACGTTCCAGGTAAAAGTTGTGAGGTTCAAGGAGAGGCATCAGACGGTAACCTTGAACTTGACCTTGAGGTTGATTTTCAATGTTTCAACCCGTTTTTCATCCCTTCTTTTACCCCATTTTGACTCCCCATTTCTCAATCTTGAGAAGGGGACTCAACTTGAAATTTTTCTAGAAGTAATATTTCATCATAAACTTTCATTTAGCATACAATTTGGCTCCAAATTCAAAGTTTCCAGGAAACAGGCAATTTTTTTGCCTATTTTCGAGGTCACTCTTTGATCATCTTGCAATATTCTTCTTCTTGACGCGCCATATCCGATTTCGGACGGTGACGATCTTTCTTTTATATACACGCATTGCGCACCTAGATTATTCATATGTATATAGGACTTGAGCGGGAAGCACACACTCTTACATAAAAGCATAATGCACAATGCATAAGGAAATAAACCAATCAAAATCTTCATTTCTATCGCCACGCTTGAAATGAAGGACTCTGATTGGTCTATTTCCTTATGCGTTGTGCATTATGCCTTTATGTAAGACTGTGTGCTTCCCGCTTTACACACTAGGAAAAAAAATTTAGTATCTCTAACAAAACTGTTTAGTTGAGACATTTTTTAATAGCAACCAAATATCTTGTTTTATATAACAAAATATTTAGTTGTTTCAACTAAATATATTTTTCTGCTTCTGTTCTCTGGATCTAATGATTTTGTCCTTAGACTTCATATATAAAAATTAAGCATTTTAGTTATTTTATCCATAAAAATTACATAATAACGAAATATTATTTTACATAAACTAAAATAATGCCTAATGAATACTATTTTGTCTTCCTGTGCACTAAAATTTAGATTTTATATATTAAGAAAAAATTATAGTATTTTTAACAAAATTCATATAGTTAAAGCTTTTTGGTTGCTATAACAAAAGTATTACGTTATACGAACAAATCAAACAAGATATTTGTTTACAGGAATTGAACAGTTTTGTTGGGCATATTTTAACCAAATTATTTTGTTGTTACAACAAAATTTTGGTTCACGCAACAATACATTTTTCCTAGTGCAGTTTAACGCCGATTCCGAACAGCAGTATTAGGGAGATTTTACTAGGCAAGATACTCTCGGTGGTCTGCCATTGCTTTCCGAGAGGAGAGCGATCGTATACAATTTTTCGGTTCTGCCGTAAATTGAACCCGTCGTGATCTTCGGCTTTGTAGACTAGTGCGCTATCTACTATGCCACTTTGAGGGTTTCCAAAGACTCGAACTTCTTATCCCGACTTCTTATCCCGAGGAAAATTTTTCAAAAAGGGAAGTAGATAGTAGTCAAGTGGGGAAAAGTCGGAGGGGAAGTACGGAGGATGAGGAAGAATGTCGGAGTCTATCAGCTTCCTACGGATAGATGTGAGATTTGACGTTATCATGATAGAAGACAATTCTATGCCTGTTAATCAGTTCAGACGCTTCCGTGCGATGGCAGCCTTCAGTTCGTCCAGTTGAAGACTTCGCCGCGTTGGTGGTTTCGTTCGGCTGAAAAAGCCCATAATACTTAAAATCCTACCAAATGCTCAGAAGAACCTTTTTTTAGTGAAGCTCCGGCTTGGCCACTGTTTGCGTAGACGCGTCGCGGGTTCCCCACGATCTCTTGTGGCTAACATTATTATATAGGATCCAGCTTTCATCGCTTGTTGATCCTCTTCAAAAACAGTTTCTTTCGATGCCGTTGAAGCAGCTTATCGCAAATGTTCACACGTTCCACCAGCTGCCGTTCACCCATCTCGTTAGCACTCAGACATCCAGTTGAGTTGAGAACCCCGGCTTCCTCCAGTAGGCGTGCACAATAAAGACGGACTTGTGCAAAGGGTCGGCGAGTTTTCTAACGGTCACTTGCGGATTTTCGCGCATCAAGTCCTCAAGAAACTCTTCATCAACATTCTGAGGCCGGCTAGAGCTTGATCTTCCACGTTGAAATCGCTAGCTTCGAATCTTCGATATTACTTCCAAACTATCTGGTGAGTGACGTAAGCATCTCCATACACAAAGAACATCTCATTCAGGGTCTGCGAAGCCGTGAAGTTATACAGTATCACATGGCGAAAGTGGACTTTCTGGTCCTCCATCTTTCAAACTGATTTCTGACGGAATGGTTGCACTCAGGAAGTTCTGCGAAGTTTCTTTGGCGAGCTCATAGATCCGGAAAAGTTTGTTGACAAGCAGAAAATCGTCTGGAGCGCCCTCGCTCTCGTTGATTGCGAAACATTTCGTGGAATTTGAAACAAACTTTCTGAACAACCTAATATATTTACTCAATAATTCACTCAATAATTTATTTTTGTTTATATATATTTCATAGTTTGTTTAAACGAAATGATTTAAAAGCTCTTTTCGATGCAGTTCAGAACGCAGCGCCGATGGTTTAATAAAATAAATTATCTTTTACCAATTCTCAGAAACAAAGTTTCTGAGTTTTTTTAAACCATTGACTATATTCTAATTGACTATAAACTATATCAAAAGTCGAGTGTTCAAACTGTACAAAAATTAAATGTATGTATATTTAAAACATGCTTAAAACGTTTTTATGTTTTAAACACGTTTTTTTACCAACCTTGGCAATAGCGCGGCGGCAAATCCTGTTGTCCAGGATTTGTCGATGAGAAATCCCAGCGAGAAACCAAAGGACCGGCTGCCGAGGACCGCTGCGGATTCGATATTTACGTAAGGGGATCATCGCCAGTCGCGGCGTCTCGCTCTTTCTACCTGAAGAGCGCTCGTCCTTCGGCGATCCTTGCTGCCCGAGTCGCGCGGTGACTTTACACGTATTCGAGGTCGCGGCGGCGTCTCTTCGGAGACCTGTAACACCGGAAAAACACACTTCCGTGCTTGAGCGGTTTTTGTGCGGGCTGCCCTTTGTCGTTTCAACGTCTCCCACGGAGGTCTTCACGTCAAGGTATTACGATAACATTACAATTTTTTCGTGAGATATGAATGACATTTAAGCAGAATGCGATCCAAAGATTTTGGCCTCTGGCGGGATTCTGGTACTTTCGATCGGAATTTCGGAATTGTTTACATTCCGGAAAGTTATTTCACTCAAAAGAAAACAAACGTTTCTCTCCGTGTAATTTCTACTTTGGCAATATTGATATATGATAATTATTGTAACGCAATATTCCATAAATATCCTGGGGCAACATTGCGATCAACTTAATTAATCGATGTAATTAACTTAGATAAATGTAATTAACTCAATTAATTAATTAATAATCGGAGTCATCGAAATAGAAGAATAATCTAATTAGCCTGATCAGGACGACGGACGGCGGAAGGAAGCAGAGAGAAACGGGTCGATGCAAAAGCGTAAGAGGATTACGAGGAATAACATTGAGCTGCTCGGTATCCGCGCGCGCACACACACATGCGCGCGTGCAGAGACCCCCCTACTGCAAACGACATCTGTTTCTTTCGAAAGAGCGTAGAAAAATTAGCCGCCGCGATTCATCCTGTGTACCGCGAGCGAGCCTTACGCGCAGCCTCTCGCAGCTCCGATCGGCCTTGACACGTAAAAGTGCCCTCGGCGTAAAAATAATGTTGATTAATCGCAGCCTTTTTTGACACCGACTTGTTAATCACGGCTGTTTAAGCAGACGCACTCCCGACGGCGCTGTGGGCCGCTCTTCTTGATACCTTTAATTGGGGACGCTGTTGCGCACGGCGACCGCGCGGAGCTTTAATTTCCTCTCGGCCGCCACCGACTGTCGGATTATTTGCAGCTGAGAAACAATCCACCGACGATTTTCCATGCTCTCTCGTCTCTTGGTCGAAGGCTACGATTATTTGGGTCGCGGACACCGTTGAATAACCGCTTGATCCTTCCGCTCTTGCTCAGTCCCCCTGACCTTCCCGTGGCCTCTCTTCCCTTCCTCTTCTCGCCTCCCCTGATCTCTCTCTCTCTCTCTCTCTCTCTCTCTCTCTCTCTCTCTCTCTCTTTCTCTCTCTCTCTCGTTCTCTCTTCCTCCGTCTTTGTCACTTGTTAGCTTTGTCGTTGCCGTCACCGCCGCTGTCGCATGCAGGCTCTTGCAATAGCGCACGTAATATTGCGCTGTTACGATCTCTGTCGTAAAAGAAATAACGAGGCGAGACAAGCCACGAGCGAGGGAAATCCATACGTCCGTAAAATGGAGTGTCTCTTAATCCTCAAAGTCGCGGATTTGCATGGAGAAAGAAGTTTCGGAAATTCCGACTGAAAGTGCGACAATTCCGTTTTCAAGTCAAGCAGAGATCTTGATAATCCAGGCGGAATTCTGATCACTTGAACCGCAATTTCTGTATTATTTCTCAAATTAGGAAATTGCTTTGTTCAAACATTTTCCCGCGTGTAGCTGCGGTGTGTTGCAACCTTTGCGTCATCCTCTGGTTCACGCGTGCGACGTTGGTTGATATCGTCTCGTTGTTTGCCCATTCCTCAGCAATGGCATGCGTATAAGGCCGAGCAGTTTCTAAATTTTTACAATATCGTCAAAGTGGAAAGTGCACGGAGAGAAATGTTTGCGCGAACGAAGCAATTTCCCGACACTACAAACGATCCCGAAATCCCGATTTTGAGAATACCAGAATTCCGCTTCAGTCAACCAGAAATCTCGACGATTCCGGCCGAATTCGAAAGATCTCCTCACCGGAAAATTCTTTCGTCCGAGCAAATTTTTTCCTCTCCGCTCGACATGTTATCGCGGATCGTGAGAGTAACGTTTCCTCCGCTTGGACTCATGTTTCAGATTTTCCGGCGAACGCCGAGAGATGTCCGACGACGCGGTCGGCGGCGAGAGGAGCGAGCCGAAGACGGATCCGGGCGCTAGCAGGCACGGCAACTTCATGAATTATTACCAATTCCATCCTGCGGAAGAGCGCGTGCGGCAACTTCCGCATGGCGTGTGGCGGCTCGCTCATCCGGCCCGGAAATACGCGGGTCTAGACGTCGGCTGCAACGCCGGGGTAAGCGCGGCAGCTGTCGGAGGGACGCGGCCGAAACGGGATGACTCGGGTCGTGATGCGAAGCTACAAACGGCGCGTCTAATTTTGGCCGAGTTATCCCTTTTCAGGTATCGCTCGCGCCGGCTCCCGCTTCCGGTCTGCGTCCTTTGTCCTGCTTGGAAATTTCATGTGCGTGTCTGCTTCCCCTCCCCCCCCTTCACCTCCTCCGTTTTCCTTTATTGAGCTAATGCATTTCCCTAATTACGTAGAACTGTCACGCTTCCTCTCAATTAGCCGTAGTATAATAAATGAAGAGTCCGAGATGGGTCTTGTGTTGTAAAAAAGCGTGACGTCGACTAACTCGATTACTCTCCCCCGACTGCCATTTCAATTGAAATTAAACGCGAGCTGAGTATGATAACATTCGAGTCGCTGCTCTGTGAGTGATTCTTGCGATGCACTTGCTTTTATTAAGTATGCAATTTAATTCGGTGCCTTTTTGACGAAATTTACACAGTTTATTCATGAGAAGACAGACACACACATTTAATATTCGAAATAATCTCCATTATTTTCGATGACTTTACTCCATCTTTCGGGCAACCGACGAATACTTTTGCGGAAGAAACTCGGCGGTTTTGACTCGATGAAGTCATCGAGTGCTTTTTCGACCTTCGTCAGCTGTTTTAAAGTGCTCATCGGCCAGGTGGAAGGTTGAAGCGGTCGAACTAGGTAGTAATCCGACTGGGCAAGATCTAGTAAGGGAGAACTTCCCAGCCCAATGTATAGATGAGGGACGTCCTTAGTCCCTTTTGCGGTATGTAGTCGAGCGCTATCGTGCTGCAAAATCACTTGCCTACTTCCGTTGCCAGCATAAGGCCTCTTTCACTTCAACGCATCATTCAAACGGATAAGTTGTTGCTAATAGCACTCTGCAGTAACAGTCTTGCCAAGATCCAGCAACTCGAAACGCACCACTCCCTTCACATTTCACCAGATACTCAGCAAAACTTGTTTTGCATGGATATTGAGGTTCGGAGTCGATGTTGACGATTGGCCGGGATCTACCCATGATTTTCGTTTAGGATTGTCGTATAATACTCATTTTTCATCACTCCTAATGATGTGGCACAGAAAATCTTTTCTTTTAAATCGAGTCAGCAAAGACATTGCCGTGTCGAATCTTCGCTCCTTGTTTTCCAGACTCTCAGGTTGTGCGGAACTCATCTACTCCCTTTTTGAATTTTATGTAGTTGTTCACGATGAGATATGTTGAATAACTCCGAGTTGTGACGCAAGCTTCTGTTGAATTTGAGCGGAGTTGTCAGTCAACAGTTGCTCGAGTTCCTCGAATTTTTGTGGTTGACCCGGACGTTGTCGATCCGAAAGGTCAAAATCTCCATTTCAAAATCACTTTTTACACGTTTCATGTACTATAGCGTCTTCATCCATAACGGCAAAAATGATCTCCGTAGCTTCAACATTTTTCTTTAATTGAAATGCGAAAAGAATGCAGTACCTCAAATGCTGCTTATCGACCGCCATTGTATTTCCTATTTTGTGAGGTTATGTCACCTGCTTCGCCAAAGTATATGGTGTTTTGAGAACTTAATGGTACACACATATAAGGCAAGAGCACAGGCTTTTGCATAACGCATAAGAGAATAAACCAATTAGTTTTCTTCATTTCCCTCCTCAGGATAGAAATGCGTTCCGACATTCACTGCCAGCACTGAAATTCTATAATATACGTGACACAAACTGTGTATTTTCAGTACTGGCAGTGAATTTCGGAACGCAGCCTTAGAAACCACAAAAGGGCGGGAAACTGTTCAGTTTTAAAACGGAGCTGTGAGGCACAAAATGTAAAGGCATCGAATTAATTTGTACTGTTTAAGGTTTTACTTATTTTGTAATTATATTTTTTAATCATATGTCATTATCCGTTAATACATACACAAACATAGAATTTTATTTTTACGTCTTCAGCGCCTAATTCCCGGCTGCGCATGCGCATGCGACAAGACTAGTTCCAACACCTTAATTTAACACCTTTAGAAAACAAACTGAGCTAACTAAATTCAAAATCTAAAGTAATTCACCTTGAACGATGAAACATCAAATTCATTTAACTTAAAAAAAGAGGAAAAAACCTTCAAGACGTCTTGAGAGAATCAGTCTGGAATTTAACAGCGAATGACAAGTCGACTTTAGAGACTCATCTCGAGATTCAACCTTGGCACACGTGCGTTCTACGTGTAAATCGTTTGATCGTGCGCGCACGCGTTTTTGCAGGACCTCACGTACGTTCTGTACGATTTCCTCGAGAAGGCCATGTCCCAAGATCAGCCCGAGGTCTCCTTACTCGGCGTGGACCTGGACCCGATGCTGATCGAGAGAGCGCGCGAGCGAAATTCGCGGCCGGATCGCGTGGCCTTCGAGTGCTTGGACTTTTTGTCAGAGGATTGCGGCGAAACGCTGACGAGGTATCTGGACCGTTTCGGTAAGAAGCGATTCGACGTGGTGTTCTGCTTCTCGATCACCATGTGGATCCACCTGAACCACGGCGACGACGGCCTGGAGGAGTTCCTGCGGAGAGCCTGCGCGCTCGCGGAGGTGATCGTCATCGAGCCGCAGCCATGGAAGTGTTACAGGAAAGCGTCGAGAAGGTTGAGGAGAGCCAACTCAGAGGACTTCCCGTTGCTGAAGGGACTCAAGTACACCGGCGATCCCGCGAGGCACATAGACGATATTGTGACGAGACTCTGCGGCTTTTGCAAAATCGCCGTCACCGAGAGCAACGATTGGGGACGCGAGCTTCTGATCTATGAGAGGAAACAGCAAAATTGTCCGACGGATCGATAGATCGGATTATCCGCCACGACAGATGTTGGCCGAATAGCTCCGAATATGTAATGTGTTGCGGACGTGGCAAAATGCAATAATAGCCAACGGTTTTATTGAAAGTGGAAATTAAATATTGGAAAATTACAAGACAAAACTGTGACAATTTTTATAAGACAAAATCGTTACCGTTCGTAACATCTAAATTTGCATTTAGATCGTATTGTTCGCTCAACAGTGGGGGCATTTATGCATAAACGGAGTAAAGTTTGGAAAGGTCGAGCTTTTATGTAAATATATTGGCAGCAGATTTGTTAAATGCGCATCATAATTATGTACAGCTGTTAGTACAACCAAGCCATTCTTCTTATTTTTCATCAATGAAACGTTTAGTACATGATACATTTTAAAATATATGTAAAAAATCTACCTTATCTAAATTATTCGACTCTCTGCACGTGTCGTACATGACTAAACTTTTTGTTGATTTCCCTTGACGGGAGACAACTTTCAGTCATTAAATATACATGATTCGATCAAACAAACGCTAATCGGTCTTTTTTTATTCACTCAACACTTGAGAATGAGGTAGTTTTGTAATATTGCCTGTACAAATGTTATTAGACAATCTATGTTTCGCAACGTTACGTTCGAAGAATGTAAGAATAATTAACGTTCCAGTCGTGCCGAGTTGTAGAACGAGCATGAAATCCCCGCGACGATAAAGCAGAATTGCCGACCGCGTCTCAACCTCAGATTTGTCCTTATTTGGTTCAACAATTGGCAAATTTTACATATGTGAGTCAACATATGTGAGTTTACGTATGTGACGCAGAGACTCGAGACGAAAGAAAAAGAGAGAGTAAAGTGAAGATAAAAATTGTGGGATAAAATATCGAATGTGCGTCGAGGAAGAGTACACCGATTGTTGGTTCTCGCGAAAGAATCCTGAAAGCGATACAAGATGGCGCTAATATGCCAAACTTTTGTCACACGTTGAAGTTGTGTATAACATCAAATGCTCAACATGAATTCTGCGAGCAAGGTGAGTGATAAAAGATATTTTTAATGAGAATTTTAGTCAGTTATGTATGTGCTGCTCTGCCTGGAAACATGAGCAATCTTAAAGTATGAGTATTCCAAAAAGATGTGTGTGATTTATTTCTACTTGAAACAGATTAATCTTTCTGATACATTTATTCTGCAATCACGATAAATAAATATTTTGTTACGAAAAATGTCTATTTTTTATATGATATTTAAGAAATAATAACAGTATAATACAGAGGGAACTAATGTAATGTGTTTGTATTATGTTCTTGGATAAGGTTATGTCGGTTATATACCTATGTTGTTTTTAAAGCTTTTTTGAGTGGCAAATTAACAATTTGACCATCTTTCTTGGATTATATGTTTAGCTGCATGAGATTCACTTGAAGTTGCAAATATTTTGGACTACTGTACAGACCAATCATGTTTTTCATCTTTAAACACTCTAAAGTATTTATAGCTTCATGTGTGGATTTTATCCGTAATCATATTGTATGATTGAGATAACAAAACTTTAATTATGCATAATTATCACTAATTAATATATATGTATAACTCCTAAGGTTAAAGGAATGTTTAATTTTAGGTGGGTGAAATTTTTACCGCTGCTGGTGCAGCCTTCAGTAAGCTGGGTGAACTCACAATGCAACTACATCCAGTTACAGACTCTCCAGCAGGGTAATTTAAATATGAACCTACAATGTGCCAGTTCTATTGATATCCATAACTTGCAAACAAGTATTTGTATGGTTGCAGAAAAGAATTACATGTAAAATGTTTGTGATATCTTGATTGTCGTGGTAATGTCGTTGTAATATAAACATTGTAGACCTTTCTGTAGACCTTGAGTGCTACTTTCATAATTCCCCATCCTTCCTTAATGTGTAGTAAATGGACTGACGACGAAATTGAGATGCTCCGTCACTCGGTGAAGACTTTCAGTGAGGACTTGAACAAAATAAGCGACCACATCAAGAGTCGGACGGTGTAAGTTTCAAAGGCAAGCCATCGAAACAACGGTCATTCCTCAATTTCTGCGTCAGCCTAAGCCTGACAGCGATTGTACCGTTTCCTCTGTTTCTAGTTCGCAGATCCGAACAACCCTGAAGAAGAAAGCGTTCGAGGAGGCTGGTGTGCCTATCAGACAACAGATAATCCCTCCGACAGCATCGCAGCAATCGTTGGTTCAGCAGCAGCAGCTGTCAAAGCAACAATCGGTAAATCAGGCTCTGATGGGAAAATCGGCAGATGTAACGCTGAACATGTTAAACGCATCCGAGACGGAAGTAGATGTCGTAGGGCTCCCCGAAGATTGTCAAGTGAAGCTGGAATTTGAAGGCGCTACTGAGGAAGTCACTTCTTAACTAAACCAACTCGGCAACTCATCATCCATCATCACCGTTATCATCATCGTTATTCTCATTTGTTCTTGCTATTCACTATTCATTTTGTTATTGACTGGCGAACATGGTTTTAAGTATTTTAGTTTTAAGTATATCGCTTATGTGTAAGTTAGTATAAGTTCTATAATAAATGTATAAAAACCAAGTTTCTTTGTACATAATCATCTATGTAGAATCTCGAAAAACATTTCAAGATCTAATCTGATACTATATGAAGATGCTATATGAAGATAAAAGAAAACAATTGCTGTAACAATATCCGCAATCTCGTGGAGCATCAGTGACATATTCGTGTCGTCAAAAGGACTAATTACATTTTCTTTTTTCTTATTGGTACACTCATGTCGCGCGCGCGATGACGACGTCGGAGGTGCGCTCGCTCGCACGTCTGCGCGATGCCGTTCATGCGTGTGCTTGAAATGAGCAGACACGTTCGGGCGTTGGAGGGAGATCAAGTGCAGAAAGTGCAAGTACAAAGAACGAGTCTATTACGCTGTTGCGCCTGTGTCCTCTAGTGAGAGTGATGTATATAAGCGCGACTCCTGACCGCGACTAGACAACAATAATGACAGCTCCCAGCTGCTCGAGGCGGCGGTCGGAGCATTAGTCAATGGGTGTCGCTTATCGATCGCGCTGATCCTACCACCGAGATCGACGCATGGTTGTGCGATGTGAAACGAAAACAGCCACTATCTCGTCGCAACGTAAGTCACATCTTCCAAATTCGATCTAAATTCAATTCGTTTGACGCACAAGAGGCTGCGCGAGGTGTTCGACGAACAACAAGTGGCAAATCACAACAGCGAACACATGGAGGGAGGTACAATGGAAAACTCAGAAACCACGCTCGATAGATCAGAGGATGAGATAGCGTTGCAAGGTTTTTGCAGCCCCAAGCGACCGCCCTACCGATTTTTGGGGCTGGCGCTTATGTGTCTTCTTGGATTCGGTATGAATCACTTCACACACTTTGTTTACATCCTGCTCACTTTTTCTTATTTCCTAAAATGCGAGTCCTAAAAGCAAGCACAGGCAGTTAGATAACACATGCTTCTAAGCATGTTTCTCTTTCATGTACACGTGTCCCTCGTGTGTGTGCAAAATAAGTCATGCGCCAGCCATGATAGTCTCGCTATTAATCATAGAGAAAAATTTGACATTGCTTAGATAACGCATATCATGAATGCTCTTTGTATGGCCTATCGTGCCGTCTTAGTAGTGTTACCAGACGCAAATGTTATAAGAATAGATGACTCATAATAGAAACATGCATGCATGTGTATTATCAATTCGATGGTGAACTTTGTTTCTTTCAGCAGACAATATTTTAATACTAGTCTAATTGGGACACTTCTTTAATACTGGAAAATACATTTCTGTTCAGCCTTTGGCACACATACTACTTCCTTCCAATGACATACTTCCCATTAAAGTGTTATACAAAGAAGAAAGTTATACAAAGATCCAATTTTCATTTTAGGATCTTATTTTTGCTTTGATAATCCTGGGGCACTGCAGGATAATTTTAAAAGTGACTTACACATGTCGACCAGCAAATTTGTTTTGCTGTATTCTATTTATTCCTGGCCAAATGTTATTCTTTGCTTCATCGGAGGATTTCTATTGGACAGTATATTTGGGATTCGGCTGGGTACTGTGATATATATGGGACTCACATTGATCGGTCAGATCATCTTTGCATCTGGTGCTATGGTTGATTCTTTCTGGCTAATGATGGTTGGCCGATTCATCTTTGGGTATGTCTGTCTTTCGTATCTTCTGATTGAGTAATGTATATTTCCGCACTATCGTACCGTTTTGAAATCTGCTTTCACTACATTTCTATTCTAGAATCGGTGCTGAGTCATTAGCAGTTGCCCAGAACAGTTATGCGGTTCTATGGTTCAAAGGGAAAGAACTGAACATGGTGTTCGGGCTGCAGTTGAGCTTCGCGCGAGTAGGATCGACCGTGAACTTCTTGGTGATGGAACCGATATACAATTACGTATCTCAATACTACAAGGGTCCAGAGTGTATCGGAGTGGTACTTTTTCTCGCTGCTGGCACGTGCGTGATGTCCATGATCTGCGCTTGCCTCCTAGGCCTGATGGACAAACGAGCCGAGAGGCTACTCAGGCGCGGAGAGGGAAGCGAAATGCAAGCCGTCAGCTTAACTGACGTGAAGGATTTCAAACTGATCTTCTGGCTGGTCGCGCTCATCTGCATCGCTTATTATGTCGCAATATTTCCTTTCGTCGCTTTGGGCAAGTAAGTCGTTCTTCAAGCTCTGTACTTTGCAGAGTGATCTTCCAACATGCATACGTTCAAACATTTCCATGCATTAGAAGAGAGGGCGGGGGAGAGGAGGGATGATGAAGCGGCCGATTAATTTTGGTTTCAGAGTATTCTTCGAGCGAAAATACGAATACGACCCGTCTGCCGCGAACACAGTGAATTCCCTCGTGTATTCCATATCGGCGATAGCGTCGCCCCTTTTAGGCTATTTAGTAGATAAAACGGGAAAGAACGTGTCATGGGTGTTCCTCAGTATTTGCGTCACCATTATCGCCCATGGATTGCTCGCGTTCACCTACGTGAACCCGTATGTTTGCATGGTTCTCATGGGTCTAGCGTATTCCATGCTCGCCAGCAGTCTGTGGCCATTGATCGCTCTCGTTACACCGGAGTATCAGCTCGGCACTGCTTATGGAATGTGAGTATTCACGCATCATCAGCAACGTCAACGCGACTGCCTGTTCCTCCCTCGCTTGGGAAATACCTGAAACACGCGTTTCGTTCGTTTTTGCAGAGCTCAGTCCGTACAAAACTTAGGCCTCGCCATAGTCTCGATTTTAGCCGGTATAATCGTCGACAAGGGAGGCTACTTAATGCTCGAGATGTTCTTCCTCGGTTGGCTCTGGGGTGAGTATTTTCTCTTGAACTTGCGGAGGTCAAGTGGACAGCTGACCCATGTTTTCCATCGTCATCGAAATTTTGCAACTAATATGTGCCTCACGCAATGGAACAGTCTCGCTGATAACCGCTGCGGCAATCTGGTTGTCCGACATAGCAACAAGCGGTGGTTATCTCAACATGACGCCCGGGCAAAGAGAACGATACGAGACGGTCCGCTGCACGCCCGAAAGTTTGGAGCGAGAGAAGCTGTTGCCGGAATGCTCGGCTGATCTCTCGGCCGACGAGTTGATGCAACCGCAGTCCGACAGCAGCATACGGAATCGCTACTTGTCGCGCATCGGCGCGATGGTAAATTCTTTTCATTCCAATCGCTTTGTAAAAGTTAGCCATCCTGGCAATGTCTGAGGAGACAGAGAGTTGCTGAGGCAGGAAACTCTGATTGATTTCAGGTACCACCGCATGTGAAGACGCCAATCCATCGGCCATTACGATGATACGTTAATTTTAGCTGCGAATTTATGGAAAAAATATTTATGGAACATATAATGTTTAAACAAACAACAATCTCTTAAATCTTGTTGAGGCATTTGCTCACTGTGTCTTCCTACCACACAGCTTGATCTGTGATAATTTTCGTAACGCAAATCCATACAGAGTTTCATTTTAATCAAGTTGGTTAGCTGTAATAACGACTACCAGAATGAATATTTTTAATCGATGAGATATGAACCACATAATAATATATACATATACACTGCTCAAAAGAATTATGGCATAGATAATTTGTTGCCGAAAATTGGTCAACTTTGACTGGCGATTACTTCGCGAAAAATTATTATAGACGAATGATTCTTTTTTCAAAATGAAGCTTGAAGTCTCTACTTTAACACGTTCGCGACATTGTGACCCACTGGCGGGTCACACTGGTTTATATTAATAGAGGTGCGTATTCACCGGTGGGTCACACACTATGAAGCATTGCACAAAAGGTAACAACTTTTGATGCTTTGGACCTGGCTTCTTTGCTACCTCTTTCTTTCTGAATTCTTCTATAACACTCAGTGCATCTCTTTCATGAAAAACTCATTAAATAAGATGAAAGCAAAGCCTTTTGTTATAAAACAAACGCAAAAAAGCAATATATTAAAAAATAAATTGTGCTTCCTTTAGAGTGAACCAATGGATTTATTGATTGTCGCGAACGTGTTAAGAATCTATCTCCATTTTTTGCATGCGATGCACCCTTATTCCTGTAACCCCTGACATTTGAGGGCATGTTTGGTATACTGAAAATTGCAAAGTTTGACGGAATACATGGACATGGACCATTTTTTTTTCGAGGACGCCGTTTGCATCGTCATAAAGTTCAAATCTTCCCCTTCAATTTGAAAGAAAAATGGAGTCGCTACAAATTTTTCGCAAAGCCTTTCAAAAATATCGTTGTTTTTAACCTTTGGGCCAAGTGTGCACGCATGTGTGTGTGTGTCCGTGACAGAAGAGATAAGGACCCCGTGGTTCGTCATTTCCACAGTAATTATTGACTGTGAAGTTTTTGGCACACTTGGCCCGAAGGCCAAAAACAACGATATTTTTGAAGGGCTGTAACTTTGCGAAAAAAAATTGTAGCGACTCCATTTTTTTTTTTTTTTAATTGAAGGGGAAGATTTGAACTTTATTGCGAACTTTATGACGATGCAAACGGCGTCTCCGAAAAAAAATTGTCCACGTCCGTGTATTCCGTCAAACTTTGCAATTTTCAGTACACTAAACATGCCCTCAGATGTCAGGGGTTACAGGGGTAGGGGTGCATTGCATGCAAAAAATGGAGATACATTTTTTAAGTAGAGACTTCAAGCTTCATTTTGAAAAAAAAAAATCATTAGTCTATAATAATTTTTCGCCAAGTAATCGCCAATCAAAGTTGGCCAGTCAATTTTCGGCAATAAATTATCTATGCCATAATTCTTTTGAGCAGTGCATATATATATATATATACATACATATATATACATATATATATCCCTAACAGCACAGATGTCTGGAGGATGTCCCCAGGAGAACATGTGCTATCTGGGATATATCAAGTGTTGATAGTCTATAGAGTTACAGCACTTCCTTGGTGAAATTTACAGTCTGTATTTTGGTCTATAAACGTTTCAAATTGACGTTGCTTTTTACGACCGCTACATGTCTTTTATGAATGTCTCGATGACGAATCATCGCTTATCTTTCATTCGAAAAGTCAAGTGTTGCAGAAAACTTGTTAATGTGTAACATATGAGTAACATGTGATAGATCTTGATGTAACATTGTAATAAATGGATGTCCGGTCTAATTGTTGTCCTAGTTTCACCGCCTCAGTGAAATAACGAGTCCCTTCGGCGGACCGTTGCTTTTCCTCTCACAATTAGCATTCAGTGACGAAAGAAAAAAAAAGAGGAAAAAACTGGCGATAAATAAATTCAAACGTATCGGGAGGTAAATACATTTTTATCACTTCAAAGGTGATATGATAAACGGTGTGTCATCATATTGTCTGCATTATACTACCATTGTTTCTCAATATCCTTAGCAGTGTGAGTCAGAGGGCGGCAGATAATTCTGTGGCCACGCGCCGCAGAATTACCTCTTAAAGATTACTCTTGCAAAATCACATACCTTTGCTCTCCCAGCAGCTCTCGAGATGGACGATCCGTCCTGCTGATCTCTGAATCATTTGCATACAATATCGATAGCGACGCAGGAAAATCTCTTGATTTCCTAGGATGCCCGTCCATGTGCGAAAATTGCCTGAGTAGCATGACCTAAAAAATATTAGACCTTTCCTCAGCGCGCGAGTTTCTTGCTTATTACTTCACGAATTATTACGCGAATATCAATTTTAATACAACGCGAGGGTGAGAACTTTCACGAAGCTTTCGCTGATACATTGAGAGCAATTTTGGAGGACTTGACGAATCGTAACTCCCTGCTCGAAATACGCTGATCGTAATTGATTAATCATCACCGTTAATTAACAAAATTACCATTTTATCGGTCATCCGCAGTCCTAGAGTCCGCCTAAGCGCGATGTGTGCGATTGAAAATATTTTCAGTTCGGAGCCGGAGGCAACGATGTCCGTTGAGCAAAGTGAAACATCGGCAGTAAGTCAAGCAACGAATCATAGTCGAGAATCGGGAAACGTTTGAAATTTCAAACGGTCTCGGCCGCGATTGGTCCGTTCGCTCGGGTTTCGTGTTCCAAAGTTCGCACTTTCGAGTGCTGCGGCGGTTCGCACACAGCAGGGGTGTTCTTTTTTAAGCGGACGTGCATCCTGCAAGCGGCAATGGTTTATTTCGGAACGCAGCCCGAGCACCGAGAACTGCGCAAGCGCGCGCTCCGTTTCTACATTTTCTGGTGGAAGGGAAAAACAGCTGTGGAATCCGAGAGTGGCATATGGGCATTAGTGTGTTGTGAGCTGTAGCGTGTACCACTTGTTTGAGTGTGTCAAAGGCACTGCGAAAGATCGTCATAACGTTCTCACGACGCTCGTTAAGATGGGGGTCTATGACCACCTGGACTCCAAGTACAATATGATGGGCGCGTCGAGTTTCTCTAAACTAGCCCCGAAGCGGCCCAACACCATCGTGTTCGGCGCGGGCCCCAGCAAGGTGCAGAAAATGAACGAAGAGGAGGTCCAGCAGGCTGCGAATGCGCCCGACAAGGACAAGAACCCGAACGGTTTCCACAAGTGTAAGAAGTCGCTGCCAGTCTATCGCCACCGTAAAACGTGAGTCTTGCCCTTGTCTCCTTGGGGTAAATTCCTCCAATCGCTAGAACGCATCCCGTGCGAGAATGTCGCGTGCACGCGGACGCTGTTTACATGACGCTCTTGCAAAATGGAGTATTACCGACTGCGCTCGGCAGAGCAGAGACCTGCCGGCCGTCGGTATGGCTGAGTCTGGTTCGCTTAAGGCGTAAGACGCGATGCGCGGTAAAGGGTTAACGGTAGATAACATTTACTTTTGTGTATTTAAGGTTCTTCAAGTTTGTATCTTAAAGTGCTAAGTGGACTGCCGAGCGAGAGTGCAACGGAACGGTATATTTTAGAGGATATTCTAGTGAATGTAAAATAATCTTAACTCTTCTCACTTTCGGTTTGGCGCCGCGTCCATTATGGATTTGTTCCCGCGTTTCGTATACATTCCGCTTTGCTTATTCAAGCAGAAGAACGACCTATCCGTCTTAACGTCGTATCTCAGTTTTTGAAGCTTTGACCCTGATTTCGTGTAAAACTGGACTATGAATATATATAGAGTGTATCAGAAAGATGGATACCCCGGATTAACTTGAAGGGATGACATTTTTCAGAAAAATGCTAAATACAAAAGTTTTAAGGTTTAAGAATGGACATTTAGTGGTGAATTTGAATTTGACCTAGGAATCAGATTTAGTGGTCCAATCAAAGTAAATTTAAGATCGTAATTCAAAACCACCACCATTTGTTATACCATCTTTTTCTGCCAATTAATTTGAACAACTTTTGTCTGACCTTTAGAAATTTCAAAATTATCAAGTTAACAAAAGTTAGATATTGTAACACCATATTCTTGAGACCGAATAGAGTAAAAGAGTCTAATACGACTTTTTCTTCCGACAAATAGTTAGCGAGATATCGTAAGCTGAATATTGAAAAAGTTACTGAATTTTTCTTAAATATTGCAAAAAATATTAGGCAAATAAAAAAATGTTTCAGACAAAAGTTGCTCAAATTAATTGGTGGAAAAAGATGATGTAATAAAAAATGGGGTTTCCGTTAAAAATTTAAAGTTGACCTTCATAACTGTTCTCAGGGTCAAATGATATAAGCTCTATTTTTTTATTTTGTGTAGCGATTCTTCTACTCAAATAAATGATTAGTAAGAATAAATTGTGCAAACATGCTTGTGTGTAAACATGCTGGATGGTTAAGGGTTAAGGGTTAACGATGATAACGCGAGTTAATCCGCCTGATACGCTTAACAAAGAGGATTCTTGGATTTTCAGGCTGGTCAGCATTGTAAAGAAGCACGATAGCCTGATTGTGATCGGAGAGACCGGTAGCGGCAAGACTACGCAGATTCCACAATTTTTATTCGAGGCTGGACTGGCCTCATCTGGGTGCATCGGTATCACGCAACCGCGTAGAGTAGCGGCGGTCAGCATAGCATCGAGAGTCGCGCAGGAACAAGCGGTCGAGCTTGGAAAATTAGTCGGGTACTGTGTCCGTTTCCAGGACATCACCTCCTCGCAAACAAAAATCAAATACATGACGGATGGCATGATGGTGCGAGAAGCGATGACTGACGAAATCCTGTCGGATTATTCGGTACGTTGCTACGCCACAAATTAGCATATTCGACTCCTATGATCAGTGTTTCAATTGTTTTTCTTCAATTCACCGCCATGTGCGATTGGTCATTCTCACAAGACCTCGTGAAATAACAACAGGTGGTGATACTCGACGAAGCTCACGAGCGATCCGTGCATACTGACGTCCTGTTCGGGGTGGCGAGACGGGCGCAGAAACTGCGGAAGATGAAGAACTTGCCACCCTTGAAACTAATAATCATGTCGGCGACCATGGATGTCAACAAGTTCGTCGAGTATTTCCAGGCACAAGTGGTGTACCTGGAGGGTCGTCAGTATGAAATAAAGGCTTATCAGACGGTCTCCTCGTACGAGAATTATTGGCTGCCCGCCTTAGCCACGCTGTTTAAAATACATCGCGAGGCGCCTCCAAAGTAAGTATCGGTCACACTCAGCAGCGCTAACAGCGGCACCGTCCGCGATACAGATAATGTCGCAAGTTAAATGGACGACATCGTTAATGCCGTACGATCTCTGGTCTTCTCTTTCAGCGAGGATATCCTCGTATTCTTGACTGGCCAGGAAGAAATCGAATCGGCCGTAGCGTACACCCGCGAAACGGGTAAGCATCTGAGTACTATCGTTGATCATCCGCCTCTAATGGTTTTCCCATTGTACTCGGCATTACCTACCCGCCAACAGCTGGAGGCTTTCAAACCGTCACCGCCGGGATCGCGCAAAGTAGTATTTTCGACCAACATCGCCGAAACGTCCGTCACCATCGGTGGTACGTGTAGCTATTTTCGAAGTGAAAAGTAAACGAATGATCCTTGCGTCGTTATCAAGCCGTTGATGAGAGAACATTTACTTGTACACAGGCATCCGTCACGTGATCGATACTGGTGTTGTCAAAGTGAGAACTCATCACCCAATGACGGGGTTGGATATGCTGAAGGTGGAGAAAATCTCGAAGGAACAAGCCAAACAAAGGATGGGGAGAGCCGGCCGCGAGGCACCCGGCAAGTGCTACAGAACCTACACGCAAGAGGAATTTGACAAGCTGGAAGATACGACAGTACCCGAAATTAAGAGGTGCAACCTCGCGGGAGTCGCTCTTCAGCTTCTCGCTATCGGCATTGACATCACCACCTTTGACTTCATGGACAAGCCGCCCAAGGAGGGCGTGGATATAGCCGTGAAATGTCTGGAAAAATTGGGCGCAGTTAGAGGTGCGCGAGACCATTTTGGATAATACATCTTTATATAACAGTACGCGTCTGCTCGCGTGAGAGAAGATATTCTCTTGAAATCCACCTTGCGAAAGTAGACGGAAGTCAAATTTACGATTTCAAAAAAGATAGATGAGATCATTTGCATCTCTTATCGAGTCTCATCCATCGATCATTTCCAGCTGTCTCTAAAGCGAGCGTTTTCTTTTAATTTAATATTCAAGAAAAGATGAAATGTACTCTGAATGACCATGTTACACTTCAAGTTGAGATTGAGACGCGATAATAACGTTCGAGCTCGCTTGAGTGATCAAAGTCGTCTCGACAGAGACAGTAAAAGGTTTCCTCACCTTTCCGCGCAGGATCTCAGCTAACCACCCTCGGCCGGACAATGGCACGGTTCCCATTGGATCCTCGGTTCACCAAAGTGATCCTCGCATCGGTGGAGCACAGGTGTCTGGAAGAGGCATTGACGGTGATTGCTCTACTCTCGGGAGAATCGGTATTTATGGACTCGACCACCAAGAGGGCACAAGCTTCCAAGGCACGCGAACGGTACGGTATTCGTTTGCGCTATCAGTTTGTTGTCGTTCCTTTCACTGAAGGTGTCACTCAATGTAGAATCTCTAAGCGATGCACTTGTCGTTTCTAAAACTAGCAATCGCTAATCGCGAGGCCAACTAACGATAGTATTACGCTTTCTCGCTCGGCAATGCGAGTGTTGTGTGCAACGTGTGTGTATTACACTTGCATTGCGGAAAGTAAGAAATTGGACAGTGTTGAAGCAATGTTACCGACTAGTTAGCGTTTACGTGAGCATCGGCCGTGCGATAAAGCGAACGTTGCGCTCCCGCGGAAGCTCCGAGTGATCGTCGTCGTTTAATGTAGCCGGGAAATTCGTTGCACTTTAGTTTCGCCTCGCCCGAGGGGGATCACGTAATGCTGTTGAATATATTCCGCCAATACCAGAGCGCCAAGCTGAAGAAGGTATGGTGCCACGAGAACTTCTTGCACTATCGAAATCTGCAGTACGGCTCGGAGGTGAGGCAACAGCTCGCGGCGTTGGCGGAACGTGCGAATTTGGAGAGCGCGAGCTGCGGGACGAATACGGAACAACTGAGAAAAGCTTTGCTCGAGGGACTTCACGAGAACCTCGCGGAGCTGCAGCGGGACGGAACTTACGTCACGGTGAGTAAACGTTTCGGCGCGAGTATTGTGATTTCTATTTGACTCGCCCGGCTGCATGTATTTTCTTAGCGGCTGCTGCCCCTCGAGATGGCGCAGCCTGACTTTCCGTATCCGCGCGGCGGAATTTTACGAGCATCCGTAATGCAATCCGTAATGGAACCTAAGCGCGACTCGACATCTTCGTCGCTCTCGGGGCTGGACCGCTATCTTTGGCGGTGTTGTATTGGAGGAGCGGTTTGCGCGTTGTAATTTCGCGAGAACCTGCGCGATTAAGAGGCCCTCAAATACAGGCGCTGATACGAGCGCGCGAGTCGGAGGTATATTACCTCGAATTACCTTCACCTTCGTCTTGCTTCCTGTTTATACCTGTTGTTCGCGCAGCAGATAGTTGCCTGCGCCGCGCCGCGCCGGCGAGGGAATTCCACATGTAATTACGTTACGTGTTTATTGTAGATGTTCACGAAGCAGCCGGTAAGCATACATCCGTCCTCGGCGTTGCACGGCACGAAGCCGGCGATGGTGCTGTTCACCGAACTAGTGGCCACCAGCAAGTATTTCCTCCGCGGCGTGTCCGTCATCGAGCCGAGCTGGCTGACTGAGAAGAATACCGGCGGCCCTGGCAAGCACAACTGACGCAACTTTTTTATCACCCGGCGTTATTTATATGGTGCTTATTTTTATTGATGTTGGATAAGGCGAAGAGCCGATCGAGGCCGTCGCATAAATGGGACGATGGCTTTCGGAATGACGAGGGACCGAGCAGCCCTTATTGACACGGATTTTCAGAGATCGATCTCGCCAGATAATTATCGTATTGTCCTATTTATATCCGCGAGGATCTCCATCGACTTTCGCTCACGTTGACAATCTTATTGAGATCAAGAGAGAGAGAGAGAGAGAGAGAGAGAGAGAGAGAGAGAGAGAGAGAGAGAGAGAGAGAGAAAGAGTGAGAGAGAGAGAGAGAGAGTAGGAGAGCGAGCAGAAGGGAAGAGGGACAAAGAAAGAGGCCACTTTTTCGCTATTTATATACTTTAATAAGATGAAGATAAGATTGTTATTACGTGTAGTTAATAAAAAGATTTTAATCGTTTTATTTAAAATATTGTCTGTAGAGCGATCGCCGAGACCGCACCCGACTCCTCTCTGCCCGATCCGTCCTGATTTATCCGTCACGACGATGAAGAGCGAGCGAACGAGCGTTCCCTTCGAGCAACAATTCTCCGATACCCGTACGATTTACACAGGAACGTAATTAAGTGAAGATGCAGCAGCCACTCTCACTGCAACGCCTAAGTGCACCTCACCCTCCCGCGCGCCCTCCTCGCCTCCAGCACGTTGCGCTGCTTGTTTCCCGCAGTTTGGCAGAGCGGTGCAAGTTTAATACAACTAGAAAGAGAGAGAGAGCGAGAGAGAGAGAGAGAGAGAGAGAGAGAGAGAGAGAGAGAGAGAGAGAGAGAGAGAGAGAGAGATATGGAAAACCCGGCTGAACGAACGAATGCGCATCATCAATGCTGGTAAGTTCGGTCAATTTTACGGTCCAGAAGTCCCGAGATCGCGCAGAGCACCGCGACGACGGGCTGAAATCCCCGGCAAAGTCCTTTCGCGAAGAACCCCGGGCGAGCGGGCTTTAACGAGGCCGCGGCGCGGCTGATACTTGTTGATGGTATCGCGAAGCGATTTAACCGCGAAACGAAGTTGCGCGCTGGTAAAATTGCAGGTAAATTACCAGCGGATGTTACGGGTGTTGCGCTCATAGCTGCTCACTTACCCGCATTTGCCACCCTGTCCCGTGCTCTGTGTATTGGATAATTACTGCTTCAGCGGGGGAATATTGAATTTGCGGCGTATAAGCCAATCGTCGGATGCGAAAGACAGAGGGAGAGAGGAAGGGAAGGAAGAAAACGCGCGCGCTTAACGTTGGCAGTTTCTCAGCCGAGCTCTCGCGCGCAGCGGAAATTCCCGGTGGGTTAAAATTTCAGCGTTCATGCATTCTAAAAGTGCCGACCGCGTCTCGTTGTTTTATTCACGCGTCCGTGAATTTTAACCAAATGCGCAAGGATTTAATTTGTCCTTTTCTCTCCCACCCCCCTCCCCCCCGCCGCGCTTTTTGTTTCCTGATAAACCACCAAGGCGGAGATTCCAAGTGGTGTGAGGGACACGAGCGCGAAACTGTAATCGAGTCGGTTTCGCGATCCCCGTGTCGAAATTTAAAAAAAGAGAGAAATGTTCGGAAATTTCGCAATTAGAGGAATCGAAGATTAATGGACTTTTATCGTAGCGCGCGCGCGCGCGCGCGTGATCGTCGTGTTACGCGAATCACGCTCGCTTGAACTCGGACATGGCGACATGGTGTGTGTTACACAGAACGCGCCGCGGCGTATCCAATTTTTTAAAGTCGAGCGGCAAGTCCTTCTTTCCTCACGTCGAGATTGTTCCTCGGCGTCTCTACGACGTCGGGGGAGGAGGGCGGTCTCATTCTCCTTTCTTCAACGCGCTTCCCTGTGAGCCGGCTGCGCGCGTGTGTGCGTGCACGCGTGTGTATTCCCTGAAGATATATATGCTTACACATTTATATTCCCGCGCCGGAGAGAATCCTCAAACCCGATTTAGCCGCGACCGTATACCGGAATATGCTCGCCGATACAGCGGGGATCCGATATGGGATTAAATCGTCACAGAGTTAGTTATACGGCAAGAGGATACCCCCCGCTCCTCCCGCGCGTCCTCGGGGGTGGATCGAATTATACCGGCTCTCGCCGTGCTCCTGGCTCGCAGCGCGACGCGCAGCGAAGATAGCTCTGTTACTCGTCTTCCATTTCGCACGGGGAAAATCGCATTCGAACATGTCGCGCGGCACGACGATGATATTAGCGGGCCTGACTGACTACGCCACTCCCTCGCGTTTCCGCGGCCTTTATCGTGTTCCCCACGTCCGTACGGTGTCCTGGCCGCCGTGTGAGGCTGGCTTCTCAGGCAGACGGGGGACCGGAGTCCGTCTTGCGTCTATCAACTGGACGAAAATGGACGAGGCGCCCGACGAGCAAGAACGAAGATTTCTGCGAGGGTGGGAATGTCACGCGCGAGGAAATACACCCCATTGGAGCGCGAAATACCTTCTACCTTCGAAATTTGCCTTCGCCACCCAAATGGAACCCATAAAATTTAGATAACGTCAAAATGCAAAGCAGATGACCGAATCATGGTGAAAATATGAGTTTTCCTTATCATTTTGACGTCATTTTCCGTTCTGCTTGGGCATGACACGTTAAAATTAGGCCGAAATCGGTTTCGGAAACTTTGGTTCTAGTTATGAGGTTGGTAATCCTTAAACTAACTTGGGTACGATCCGTAATCGATCAGCTGATCATGCTTAGACGTTCACAGCCACGTAGAGGGTGATCATTAGGATTGTGTTGAAAGTAAACGGTCAGTTCCCCTCCTTGAAGTCGGCGGCGATTTTACTCACTAGAGTCTGGTACCTGAGATTCGACAATTTCATTTAAGCCGTTGGACAAGCCAGTTTACGGCGAACGTGCTAAGCATAGAAGAAAAAGTGTTTCTTATCGAGTACAGTAGAGGCAAAAAATATAACGAGGTATATCATGGATTTCGTAGTAAATATGGATCTAAAAATGTTTCTAGTGAACTATATTCGGAATCGCATGGAATTGCGCCTTAACCTAATCCTAACCTATATATTATGCTGTCAATCTGAGATTTTATTTGTTGTTCGGTATTTTTTCGCAGAATTATTGATCATTTTAGTACAGCACTCTGAATGATCGCAGACATGATTTACCCGGTCCATCTCGAACGTTACGACGAAACAATTGATGATGTCAAAGCATATTTCGAGGAAAATCTAAATTCCTCGATTCGGAGAGCTGCTCAGATTACGGACTTGAAGCGAGAAAGTCTTCGAAAGACTGGAGATTAAATTCCTTATGCAAAGGAACGAGGATAGGTAAAGAAATTCCATTTTCATTAAGATGGCGATCCCACGTCGTACTCGCAATATGTTTGAATCGATACATCAAATTTATGGCAACAGGGTGATTGGATTAGAATATCCAAAATACGCTTACGAAAGTCTGGAATGGCCTCCCTATTCACCCGACTTAAATCTGCGTGATTTTTTCCGCTAACGTTACCTCAAAGACAGATATTGCGCTGAACAACCGAAAAATATCGAAAAACTAAAAGATAACCTTCCGTCGAAAATGTACTCGCAATTCTATAGCCAACGTGTTTCAAAGTTTTCGAAAACAGTTGCAGTTTTGCGCTGCAGTTTCCGATGAACAACATTTTGAAAACGTCTACCATTAGTTCGTGCGCGAGTTAATTTTTACCTCTTTTTTTATAATGTGTATTTGCATTATTAAAGTATTATGCATTTTTTCGCTTATGATAATAAAATCGACAATTGGTAATAAAATTTACAAATTTAGTTTTGGCTATTAATTTTGCAATATTAGACGGAGAAATATGGATAAAATATGGATAAATTTTTGTATTACTTATTATCTTGATAATTGATCAGTTGATCAATGACGGATCAAAGTTAGCTTAAAGCCTACCAACCTTCTATAACTGAAACCAAAGTTCCCGAAATCGGCCTTCGTAACCGGCCTAATAATTTTCGTGTTACACGCTTGAAGACAAAGTATTGCTCGCGAAGCTCGCCCGAAAGCGATAACACCTTCAATGTCCACGAACGCGAAATATGATCGAAAGAACGACGGACGCTTGTCCGCATGTGACGCTTCGTTTTTGCGAAGCCCAATGCGGAGCCGCGTCCACCGCCGTCTGAACGGACGGTATGAATCCAGCCTAACGTCGTCGATCTTCCTCCCCCTCCAGTTTTCTTCCACTCTGTCGCGCGGTGCGCGCAAGAAAGCCGGGATTTGTCCGTCCAACGGAACACGTCTCGCGTCTATTTCGACGTTGCTTTGCTTATAATCTATGGTCGGCTAATAGCAACGTAGAACGACAACCTCAAGGCCGCGAGGAAAGCGCGTTTTCACCCGCAACGCGCTTGTTTGAAACTTCGCCGGGTAAAGTCCTACGAGACGTCACGTTGAACTCGCGTTCGTTTAATTCCGAGGACGACGTGAAGAAATAGATCGGCAATTTTTCGCTCGCGGCCGCAGTTGCCGTCTGCGATCCTCGGGAGCTGCGGGAGCTTGAGAGGGCTGAGCGGCGCGTTGCATCGTGAAAGGCTTCGCGAGTAATCGCAAAGCACGCTTTCCGTGTGCTCGATTAAGCCTCGTGCACACATCCGCCGCCGCGCTCGCGTGCACGGCATGCAAATGATAAATTTCAGGAGACTGCTAAACGTAATCCCCATATTCCACTCCCACCACCCTCCCCTCTCCTTTCAATCCCGCGCGATATGATGATGGAAACATTCGGACCCGGAAGTGAAAACGCGGTAGTCAAAAGGAAGATGGATGGGTTCATGCAGAAAACTATTCGGTTGGTATAACTGAATTTCAGTTACGAAACCTTCCGTTCCTCGGGAGTCAACCGAAAATTTCGCTGCAACACGAGAGGAATTCCGTTAAAAGGTTTCTGTTGTCTCAGAAATATCTTCGGCCACTTCAACCGGACATTAACCCTTAAAAGCTACCATCAAATATCAAGCTAATCTTTTTTGTTATGTTTACAGCAAAGTGTATGCGAGAATTGATTTGTTTTATCGTAATGTTGTCACCACTGATAGTGTGAATAAATACCTTTAAAATTAGCATTGTTAGGGCGGATTCACACCTTGGCAGAAAAGCAAAGAGCAGAAAGGCAGAAGCCAAGAGAGTGACAGAGAGAAAAACTCTTGCAGGAGAGAGACAGACTATCAGCGCGACTTCTGACTGGATGCTGCCTTTTTGCTTTTTGCTTTTCTACCAAACTGTGAATCCGCCTTCAGTGCGGTCATGTTTTTTAATAAGACAAAAATTCGCATGGGGTGAAACATCACCCATGGTAGCCTTTAAGGGTTAATGTTGCTCACATGGAATTTTCCATTTTATCGCGACCGAACCTCATGTAAGAAAAAATTTCTAGTGATCACTGCAGAATATTTTTCTGAGAGGGGGGTGAAGGAAGATCCTCCCCCCCCCTCTCAGGGTGAAATAACCTGTCCTTGAGGTGAAAAAGCCCAAAAGGAGAGCGGGGAGGATCTCTCATCTTTCTCTTATCCAGCTGTATGAACTTCTCGTCGCATAAGAGACTCGTCGCACACTTGCGGAACTCTATCGCGCGGCGTGATTAAGAATTAAATATTTATGAGAGGAGCGGCTCTCTCCCCCGCGCTCCCTCTCTCTCTCCCTCCCTCCCTCTGTCTCGCACAAACACACAGTCTCCGGCGCGCTCCGCGCCGCTTTCTTCGGCAATTCACGTTGATAGGGCACTCGTTATGAATAGAGCGACGTAGAATACGCGCGATACCGGATAAGCGCGCTGAAAGCGCACGAAAATAGGCTTCCAACGGCGCGACGGTGCCGAAAGCTCCGCCGAGCTTTACTTTCGCAGCCTCATCCGCGCGCTCGGGCGCGATCCAGCTCCCTCCCGCCGTCGCGCGCGCACCGTGCAAAGACGATCCTTTGTGAGAACGCTTAAGAGGCCCTTTAATAATGAATCCCCCCGTGAATGGATCCGACCTGGTGTCGCCGCCTCGATGTAAGTACGCGCTCGCAGACGTTTGAATGCCGCGGAGAGCGTGTTCCGCGGAAACAGACTCAGCTGTTTGATCGAGCCTTTCCGCGCTGCGCCTGTGTCATCTTCTCCAGCTTGCAGATACCAACCGCCCCCGCCCCCGCTCCCGCGGCCGAGCCGGGATGTAATGGGCGCGAGAAGCGGAGGGAATGTGAAAGAGAGACGCGTTCCGTGTGCATTTCGGTCGCCTGTACATTATTAACCGGTTCTATCTCGCGGCGCGTCGCGGCGCCCCGGCTCTTCTTTATATCCGCCGTATCCGCGCTTTTCATATTTTTCTTTGCGACCACCCTATGTAGGGTTAGTTCGTTCGCGATCGACCTTCCGTCCGCCCCTTTATCCGCCGCCCTTTGACCCTTTCAGCCGGCGGCCGAGTCCGCCGCGCTTATTAAAAGGAGAGGTTCCTCTCTCTCTCTCTCTCTCTCTCTCTCTCTCTCTCTCTCTCTCTCTCTCTCTCTCTCTCTCTCTCTCTCGCTCCCTCTCTCTCTCTCTCTCTCTCTCTCTCGCTCCCTCTCTCTTTCTCTCTCTCTCTCTCTCTCGTGCCCGGCTTTTGATAATAATTAATATCGGCGGCCGCGTTTTCATTTCGCTCGCGTCCGAGCGGCCTTCGCTCGCGGACCCTCTCAAAGTCGATCGCCACGTTGTGTTTCGTTGTAAACGCAGATACAAGCGCGATAGCCGCGGCGTACGTATCGCGCGGTAATATCGCCGGGAGCGGCGAGAGCGGGAGGACTTTGAGCTGAGAAAGACAACGGTAGCAACAGGTGGCATCAAAAATTCATTCCTGATGGCCTCCATCAGCGGGGGACATCTGTTTCTGGGGATCACTTGACGTTCTTAATTATTATTCCGGGGCGTAATGAACGTTTATGATCACAGGTGTACCATTAAGACAACGTGGGATCCGCTATGCCGCCAGGATCTATCCATGTTCTGGCGACTGACGAGCGTATTGATCATATATTAAAGAGCGTCGCGGAAAGTGCTTCGAGTTTCAAGCGCCTCCTCCTAATTTGCTTTGAAAGCCCGATCGGCAGTTCTTCTTTAAGAAGAAGTATGAACGTCTAGGCGAGGCTACGCACAGCTCTTCCGCCGGAAGAATCATACGACGGCACGCTTTTTTGCCTTCGCGGCTCTAGCAGTCTCTCGCGACGTTTTTTGCCCCGGCCACTCTGAGACTAGTTTCTCTGAGACGGTCTGTTGGCGAGACGGTTATATCGCACGGTTTTGACTTACCTCGGTATTTCAGCGTCTGACTGATGCGATCACAAGGGAGAATTCACACCTTGGCAGAAAAGCAGAAAGCAGAAAGGCAGCATCCATACAGAAGTCGCTCTGATAGTCTGCCTCTGTTTTGAGAGAGAGAGAGACAGACTATTAGCGCGAGTTCTGATTGGCTATTGCCTTTCTGCTTTTCTGGTGTGAATTTTCCCCAAGGGCGTATTCACATCTGAGCAGAAAATCAGAAAGCAGGAAGGCAATAGTCAAGAGAGTGACAGAGAAAAACTCTCTCAAAAGAAACAGATTATCAGCGGCATTTGTGATTGGCTGCTGCCTTTCTGCTTTCTGCTTTTTTACCCAGGTGTGAATGCGTCCTTAGGGAGGATTCATACCTTGATAGAAAAGCAATAAGCTGGAAAGCAGAAACCAATCAGAACTCGAGCTGGTAGTCTGTCTCTGTCTTGAAAGAGAGACAGAAGAGAGAGACAGACTATCAGCGCGAGTTCTGATTGGCTGTTGCCTTTCTGCTTTTCTGCCAAAGTGTGAATTCTCGCTAAGGGCGCATTCACACCTGGGCAAAAAAATAGAAAGCAGGAAGGCAGCAGCCAAGAGAGTGACAGAGAGAAAATCTCTCGCAAGAGGGAGACAGACTATTAGCGCCATTTGTGATTGGCTGCTGCCTTTCTGCTTTCTATTTTTTTGCCCAGATGTATCAGCGCGAGTTCTGAGTTCTGAGTTCCGAGTTCTGAGCTCTGTAATTTGTCGCACGTAGAATCGCACGTAGGGAAAAATTGCCGATATTGTATCGACTCCTAAATTCTACCATCTTTATATTCCATAGAAATCGAAGGCCCAGCGCCATCTGCATATTATGCAAGGTTCATACATCATCATAAAGTTAATAGAGGGAAGTGAGTGCTTATGCACGAAACTTGTTAAAGAGAGCAAGTAAAGATTAGGTTTTTCTCAGTTTCAGAAGTAAGTTTTACCCACTTTTACGTAAGGCATTTTGAAAGTTTCAAAAGGCGCATTAATTTAGCTGCTTATCGTTTTTATATCACATTAAAATTGACATATTTGCATGGTATAGTTTGGATATAATCTTATTCTGAGTCTACCTTATTGCTATAACTTGAAAAAAACAATAGTTTCTTAAATCGTACCACCTATTGATTGCCTATATTGTATCGATACAATTTAGAAATTTTCAGAGGAAACTACATCTGTGATTATTTTTTTTTCTTACGTGTTACGTATATTTATTTTTTGTTTTAATTAAAAATCAGATTTTTGCTCAATGGTTGTTTATTTCTTAGTAAAGTCTTCAAAAATAAAAATAGTTTAATTCTGTAATCTTAATTGCAAGGATCTAATAGATAAATTTTGCAATTTTTTATTTGCGTGGTTAAAAAATAATTTTATAAAAATTTATAAATGACTTATAAAAATAAAAAAAAGGTCAACTTTCGTGTAAAATAAACTTCATATAAAAATGGATCTAATTTTAATAATTATTTTAATAAATAATTTTAATGCATATTTTTATAATTAAAAATATTATATTTTAGTTTTTCATACAGGCTGTGATTTCAATTAATTTCTTAGTAAAGTTTTTAAAAACAAAAATATTTAATCTTTGTAATTTTAATATTTATTTTTTAATTAAAAAATATTTTTCTTTGATATTTTGTACGAACTGTAATTTCAGTTAAGCGCGTATTTATTTAAATTATTTGTAGTTTATTTTTATGCCCTCATAGCTTATAAATTAATCATCGGTTCGACAAAGATACAATTTGAGAAACTCCATGGTACAATTTAACAGGGGCGAGGAGGCGCGCGTAGCGCGCCGTGCAAAACGCACTTCCAACTTGTACGTTAATGAAAATTTTTAGCAATAACTTTTTAACGAACAACGAGCGACGGCTAAAATTTTTTGCACGTTACTCAGGTAGGTGTCCTTGACAACATATGTCAAGGTCAAGGTCATAGGAACGGGATCCCCTATTCGGCATTTTTACCAAAAAGACATATCTGCAGAAGATGTCATGTAAAAAATCTTAAAATGTTACAAAACGTCACAAACGAATCAGGGATAACTTCCAATTAGTCCTTATCCCATTTTATCAAGCATTTGCAAATTTTAGGAAAAAAAGTAAAAACTGGTCCAATCCAGGCGACCTTCCCCTATATTGAACGTACAACTATTTACATGTGGCGCTACCTCTTTCCTTCTCGATGCAGATGTCGAGCGAGCGGTAGTTCCCGAGGTAGTACGAGTGCATTCTGAAACCGCGTGTACACCTCATCAACATATAATCAACCGCTTTCGACGAGGCCGGCCGGAACGAAGCGCGACTCGAGCCGAGACGACTGGCCTGGCGCAGCGCGTCGACGAGAGTCCTGGTAATCCCCAGCGTTCGCGCTGATCCAGAGAAGAGAGAGGAAGGAAAAAGTCGGGAGAGAGTGCTCGCGATTTATCGGCGGGCGAATTTCCGCTACCGTTCGGCAGGCGCAGATATCGAGCGGAAACATACGAGCGCGGGCTAAACATTAAACGCGCCTGTGTTGATTCTCGCGAGCCGGAGCGACGTAAAAATTCGGATTCTCCTGTTGATGGAAGCCGGCCTCGTAAAAAAGCCGCTGAAGTGCCGGGGGCTGTTGCTCGAGCGCGACCGGCGCGGCGCTCGATTTTCCGCCTTACGTGTCCAACCACTTCTCCAGCTTTCTCCACAAGTACGTCCTCGTGCAGCTGAGCGCCGAGTTCGAGTCGGCGATATCCATGAACTCCTGGCCGACCTGCATGAGCGTGCCAATCGTCCTGAGAATAGCGACGACGAGCGCGCGCAAATTGCGCACTAACGCGCGGCCCAGAAACCGCTGCTCCACGACCTCGAGGTCGACCTTTCGCAGCGCGGACGGCTCCGCATGTCCGCGGGCCGACCTGCTCGAAGCCGAGCTGTTCTGCACCCCGGTGAAGCGCCTGACGCGCTCAACGGCCGACATCCTGCGCCCCGCTGCGTCGTCCTTCTCCTCCTCCACCTCCTCCTCCTCGGCGAAGAGGCCTCGATCGGCCGGAAGTGGAACTCTACGACGACGCGTGTACTCCACCACGTGGTGCTCCCGCGGCGCTCCCGCCTCGACTTCCTTGTCGCCAGCGGGATTAACGGCTCCTGAGTTCGCTGGAGACGCGCAGCAGCGCGGGGGCGGCTCTCGGGGAAGCCCCGATCGCGCGATCGGCAGTCTGAAATTTTTGCACGTGCGTCATACTTGGCGGCTTACGGGGGGATTATAGCGGGGATCAGACTCGGCGATCTCTCATTTCCATCGGCCGCTTAAAAAGGCTCAACGGCTGAGGCTAAAGTTTACACGATAAAGCGCCGAGCAGCAGCCGAGCAGTGATTGAAATTCTCGCCTGGAGGATTACACGCGGGAGGACGGGAGAGGGAGTGAGGGTGCATCGTGGAAAGCGACACGCTTGGAAAGCGCCGGAGCAACGACGCTCGTTTCTTCCGGTTTCTCTGTCTCACCTTCCCCGGCAGTCAGTCATCGCCGCGATCATCCTCTCGCCCCTGTCGACATTATCAGCGCCTTGTCGCGCCTTATCCGCCATCGCTGTCGCCATCGCCGTGGCGCCTTCAGCGGCTGCGTTTCTCCTCCGTCTCTCTCGCTCTCCCGTTACTCTCCATCCCGCGGCAATCCGATGCCCATTAGGATCTTTCACGAAGCCCGAAATAGTGGAGTTCAGCGAGCGCTTCTCCCGTGAGTGTCCTCGCAGCGTTTCCCTCCGTCGCGGCGCGTCGGCCATTACATTCCCCGGAAATGGGTTTCGCTGGCTATTCGTCGCCCAGTCACTCGTATTGCAACGCTCTCTTGCCGGGGACAGCGACGCGGCCGAGTTCATCCACAATTCGACGCTTATCTGAGCCAAATAGTCCGCCCAACAGTAGCCCAGAATCACCTCCTCGTCGTACGTGTTGTATATTTTCCGCCAATATCTGAGAGTTCGTCGCAACAGCGCGACGCCGGCCGTTCCCCATTCGCCTTCCGCTGATCTCGATATCAACGGGAGCAACAGAGCGAAAAGTATCGGGATGCTGGGCGACATCGATTCGCGTCCGTGTTCCTGCTGGATAGGACAGAAATGGATACGAACGATCATCTCTCGGACGCGCGCATAAATAAATCGGTCGTATCATGTCGACGCGAGAAGCGGCAGGCATGGCATTCGCGTCATCCGCCAAAATGACTGCGGCCCCTGACGGTTGTTTAGAAAAATGATGCCGCTTTTACGCCTAAAGCTGGGTAAACATTCAGGCGTTCAAAGAGAGAGAGAGAGAGAGAGAGAGAAAGAGAGATACAAATTCCGGAACATGCATTCTGAGGATGTAAAGAGAAAAGGAGACATAAAGGAAAACGTGGAAGATATATATAAAGAAGAGTGATATAAAAAAGACCAAATATTAGGGGTGTGATTTAATTTTGGGGGTTTTGCAAGAGATGACACCAATGTTAGTTTTGTCGAAGACTTTTCGGGAATTTTTCTTAATGCTTTGATATTGATGCGTGATATTTGGTCATTTGTTAACAATAGACGCAGTAAAAATCGTGTTAGCACTTTCTTAAAAATGGAGCTTCCTAAAGAGTATCTTTGACATGTACTGAGAAAAAATTGTATTAAAATTAAACAAATCTTTGTTCGAATATAACTGTGAATACATTTATTTAAATTAAGCAATTATTTTCTAAAATTCAAGAAAAAAGCTTTCATTACAACAAACATTCAGAGAACCTCTGTATTTCATTTTAGAAATTAGTCGCTTAATTTGAATAAATTTATTTACAGTCGTATTCGAACAAAGATTTGTTTAATTTTAATACAATTTTTTCTCAGTGTACGTTGCTTTTGTTTTTCAATCAATTATCGGGAAATGTCATTGCGAACCGATTGAACATTTGCATTTCGTTGATCGTCAGACAAAAAATGAAGAGTTTTATCGAATACCGAATTAGTTAGTGGGGATGAAAAATGGATCTATTTCGATAATCTCAAACGAAAAAAATCATGGGTTGATCAACTAGCAACATCCACTTCGAGGCGCGATATTCACGCTTCAAAGGTATTGCTATGTATTTGGTCAAAGTGATTCTTCTTCGCGACAATGCTCAATCTTATGTTGCATCGTCAGTGTAGCAAACGCTATTAGAAATGCAACATACTCTAGAGGATACACATTTTCATAACTTTGAACAAGTGCGAAAATTTGTTGAAAATTGAATCGACTCCAAAGAAGAATCTTTTTATCACCACGGAATTCATCTCTTGCCAGAAAGATGGGAAAAAGTTGTAGAAAACGAAGGAAAATATTCTATTCATTATCGTATGTTTAAGTTAAGATATTCGTTCATTATGTCTTGTTTAAGTGAATCAATTTTTGAGAAAAAACTCATGAAACTAAATCACACTCCTAATAATATAAAGTGATGTCAAGAGGAAATAATACGGAGAAAATAATACAAGGAACATAATACAGTGCATGCGGGGTGATGAAGGGGGAGAAGGACCTACCATTAAAACTGAACGCTGATTGAACGAACTTGGGAAAGAGAAAGAGTTCCCTCTTTCTCGCATGGAAAGCTACCTGGTCGATGATAGAAAAACCAGTTTTCAAAAGAACTTGACTCCAGATACCTGACTTTAACTGGAAGAGAATTCCAACAAACGGCAGCTGGCAGAAAATCAGAGGAAGAAAAAAGAAACGGGAGAAAGAAACGGGAGAAAGAGCGAGTGAAAGAGAGAAGGAGACCGAGTCAAGTTAATTTCCCCATTATACCATCGATATCCTTAATTAAAAATAAATTCTCGATAGCTTCGTCGATATTGAGAAACTCGATCTTGCACTTGGATTATAAAAATGAAGATCTCATGAATGATGAAAGCAGCTACTCGAGCTGGTTAGTAGTAAATCGCGAGGTAAAAAGAGGAGCAATGGAGGAGTAATGGAGAGAGTAGGAGAGACCGTATAGTAGCTAACTTTTCAGTTTTTTACAGATAAAACTGAGAGACGCAGCCGACGCCATTTATCGAATACGTTTGACCGTTTCAGCAGCCCTTGATGAGACCGAAATTAGACAACTCTCTGATGTAAACTATTTTCTCAAACCTCGCGTCATGTTTCCAAAGTTGCCTCGTAGTCGAGGCAACAATATCTTGAAATAAGTTGACTGTAAGATTGTAAAAGATACCCCAAAAAGGATTTTTACGTCACAAATGTGAGCCTTATTTTTTTGCGATTAAGAGCAACATTTCCCGGCGCAAGACGAATCCGCTCACTCCTCTTTTTCAGTTTCCTGAAAAGAACCTCGCGGTGTGCGGATAAGAAGAGAGATAACCGGGAAACTTGTCGTCTCTACGTAAACCAAGCCAGTGTGTGTGATTTTAGGACAAAAATACTCACTCGCGTGTATAATTTCTTTAACGCGCCTTCTAGTTTCCCGAAATTGTGCGTATACGCTCGATTGAGCGACGGTGACTGTGAGTACACACACACACACACACACACACACACACACACACACACACACACACACACACACACACACACACACACACGTACACACATGCAGGCCTCTGTCCGCCCACGGTATTCGATTTCAAATTTACATTCGGTCAGTCAACCTGTCCCTGCGCTAAACTAATCTTGGCCTCCTTTATCTGGTTGCGTTTTGTATTAAACTGCCATCGCAGCAGTGTCCGTGAAAGGACTTTTTGCCTTATGGCGCTCAAAGTTCCAGCGATAACGAGCATCGGCTGGAGAAATACGTCACCCACGCGAACACACGATCGCGCAGCGAGCAAACTCACCACCACACGACGAGCGAGAGGAAACGAAGGAAAAAACAAGGAAAACAAAAACAGAGAAATACAAAGGAGACGCAAGAGCAGCAGAGACGGGGGCAGGCGCGCGCGCCTGCGCGCGTAATCGGATTCGTTAAAATTTACGTTGGTGAACCGGGCTACCGGAGAATAATAAGGAGGAGATTTTCTCCCCGTGACGCTAAACGACGGACTGACTGGCTCTTACGGCAGGACCACGCGCTGTACCTGCGGCGTACCTGCCGCGGCAATTAGTGTCCCGGCGGCCAAAGTGCATAAAGTGCATAACCTGTCTGCTACGTAAGATATCCTCCCCTTGCCGCCCCCTTCCCGTGCTCCTTCTCACCTATGAAGGTCCTATCCACCTGTTTTCCTGAGGCGCCCCCCCTCTCTCTCTCTCTCTCTCTCTCCTTCTCCGTTCCTCCGTTGGCGCGAGCCTCGTCCGTAGATAACGGAATTTCCATGTAGTGGAAACAAGGATAACGGGCCGCGGAGAGAGTGGGTTGCATTCCTACCTTGAACCCGTGAGTCACCACCTCGGGCGGAATTTAAGGATACTCTACCGCGCGGACTGAGGATTACAATTCGTGAATAACGTAGGCGAGAGTACGACGGGGTAAAAAGCAAACGCTGACGCGTGCTCTCCGCCGTCGCTTCCTCGAGCAAACGTAAACAGAATGGGAGGTCTCGGGACGGCGGCGGCTCCGTTGTCAGCGGGACTCTGTGCCGCGGAAGTAATGAAAAAAGGTATTATGCTGCGTTGTTACGTTTACGCGAGCAATCATGACGGTTTAATTGGAGGAGTTTAGTAGCCGCGGGAACAAGCCCGGGAAACTTGGCGAAACTTCGCCCCGGAGATTTGTATTAATCGTGTTCCTAGAGACTTCTCCCGCTCTAACACAACCTCGGTTCGTCGGAACGGAGAAAAAGAGGAGAAAAAAAGAAGAAAAGGGAGACATCACCGAGCTAGCGCGCGCACCGAAAATATATTATTGACGGAAACCGGTGTTTTCTTTTTCTTCGCCGCCGACATTCTGGAAACTTTTGTAAATGAGAAAACGCAGCGTCTTCATTAAGTCGATGTAAAATAATCAAGCTATTCTGGCACGTTTATATGAACAAAAAAATTTCCAAAAAGAAAAAGAAAATTTCATAGACTTGTCTCGCATGAAGAGAGAGTGTGGCTCTCGGTGTGCACGCGATTCATAAAATTAATTTAAAATAATAAAATCCCTTTTACGGATATATATGCACGTAATTTTTGGAAAAGAAGAGAGTATCGTCAATCTTTTATATGAAAAATATATTATTATTATTTATAATACAGAAAAATATATTATTATTATTTATAAGACGGAAACTGATATCTTTTTTCCAAAACGCGCATTTTGGAAACTTTTGTAAACGAGAGAGCGGTGCGTCGTCTTCGTCAAGTCAATATAAAATCAGGCTATTTTGGCATGTTTATGCAAACAAAAAGCTTTTCAAAAAAAAAAAAAAGAAAGTTTTATCGACATGTCTCACATGAAGGGAGAGCGTAACTCTCAGTATACGCGATTCATAAAAATAATATAAAATAATAAAATCATTTTTACAAATATATCTCATAATTTTTGAAAAAGAGGAGTGTCGCCAATCCTTCTCGTATAAAAAATATATTGTCGACGGAAACTGATATTTTTTTTCCAAAACACGCATTCTGAAAACTTCGGAAAGTAATGGGGTACAAGTAAATAGTCCGTCTAAGATGGCGAACGCGGCTAATCAGGCAAGTAGGTTCGTATCATTTCAATGTTCTTCAATCGTATCAACCCGGGGCACATTCCCGAGCCCGGGAATATAAGGACCCTGGCGTCTCCAGGCTTCCCCGCAGAAGGGACATTCTTTGATGGTCGTCCTCTGGTGGCCGCAGCGAAAGCAAAAATTCCCACGCGGCTGCGGACACTGACTATATAAATGAGTCCGAGCAGCGCAATTATAGCACCCGGTTCGCCTTTCTCTACTCCTTCGTTTAGATCTCTGCTGGAGGGTTTGCCTAGGAGTCACTTCCGCCCTCCTCGACGATCGTGGCTGTTTCCGCTCCCGCTTCACGCGTGTCCAGGTCCTTCGTCTTCTATGCCTCCTCTTTCGCTTTTTCCGAAGGGTCCCGGAATTCTGCTCACCTTGAGATCTGTCGAAGTTTTATCACGCTTATCAAGACTATCTTCGCGCGGTTCTCGTCAGCCATGCGACACTGCATCACGCTAACCTATAGGCTATTTCTTCAACCGTCTCGCTTGACGGCGATCTTACCGCATCAACGCTAAAGTTAAGGACAGGCACAATAAAATCTACGTCCGGTATACTATAGGTTTCCTTTTTTTCTATATATATATTTTTTTTTTTCACATGGCTGGGACGTACACATGTAGAGCTTCCCGTTAGTTCCGTGAGCCCGCGACGGATTCACCGTCAGCGATTCCGTGAAGGCATGTTCGATCATCAGTCTATCCGTGAAATTTCACTCCCTATTCGCGAAATTAATATTTATTTAACTCGAACGCAGCTAAAAAATCCATCCCGAAAATAGCGGGAGCTGCTGAACCCTTCAAGGTGCACAAAGTTATCTCCCGCTTCATTCCGTGTAATAGTAGCACGGTAATCTAACAGTAGACCGACTCTCGGATGCACGGTACTGATCCATTCGCCAACTTGATACGCGAGACCTTTCCCCATATCACTTCCAACGCAGTGTTATCAGTAACCGGTGTTGATTACACCTCGAATAATCTGGTCACCGATCTCGCACTCCAAGTATTCTAGCGGTTGCCTCTCGTCGCATCCGTACGAAACCGATTCTAACTTATAGGTTACTTCTCCAACCATGACGCTTGACGGCGGTCTTACCGCAATCTTATCGGCGCTAAAGGTAGGAACAGACAGGAATAAAATCTACACCCGGTGTACTAGGTATAGGTAGGGTTGCCAGATGCAAAAGTCAGTTGGGGAGGATGCTGAAAAGTATGGATGAGCAAAAAGAGAGGTCATCGGGTGGGAAAACACGTGGCTAATATGCTCTCTATAAACAAAGTATTGCACTTTACTTTGGCATACTGTCATATATCTAATTCACATGTCCGACGCAGGCGTGAAGTGCCCAATAGGAGAGGGGTAAGAAACGTTACTAGGCAATATTACCAGTAGGAGGTTGAGGAGTATTTAGAGACTTTGTAACTACTAGACATATAAGATCCGCAGGAAAAGAAAGGTCACCGGGTACGGCAAATTTTGATGAGCAAAAAAAAGAGAAGCTCATCGATGTGCGTTTGGGGAGGACAAATAGCGTTCTGAGGAGGACAGGAGAACAGGGAGCCGGAAAGGAGGAAATCCTCCCCAAAGGAGGACATCTGGCAACCCTAACTGTAGGTTTCCCTTCCCCTGTTCCGCACAATTTTTCGTCGAACCTACGGGTTCGGTCCGATCAGCGACCGGCTCTAACTCTTCTTGGGCCTCCAGGAAAGACATAAAGGCCCGTTCTACCGTCCTCGCCTCCTGTTTCCCGAACACGTTGAACATGTTCGAATTGTAACAGTGTACGCGCGGAGGAGCATGACACTCTCTCGCAAGATGGCCATCCCTCTCGCAACTGCGACACTGTTTGGGCCTAGCGGGGCCCTGTGTAATCGGCGACACGGCCGCTTCCACGCTGCCTCTCGAATGCCCCGACCCAACCTGGGATAAAGGGGGCCGATTCTCTCCACCATATCGCTCTGTCATCCTCAACTACAAAATTCGCACTAAATACAAAATTCACGCTAATTAGAAAATTCTAGCACCTGGTCCGGCAGGCTTGCTCACGATATTGATAGCTCTCGCGATTACCAGGACTTCGGCTGAGGCAACTGTGAGAACGACGAAAATTCTAGGTGACACAGCGCGGTCGCTGTTTGTTGTCACTGTTCCGCGTATGCGTGATGCACGTGATCGGCCCGTGTCCGGATGTGACTTTGAGCACATCGGCTTGTCTCAGCTTGGTTCACTTGTTTACGCTGGCCGTTCGGCGTTTTACCGCGCGGTAATCCTGGTGCGAGATTCTGCTTTCTTAGCGCTCGGTCCGGATTCGCGCATAGGGCTTCCGTCGCCAAATCTGCTCCAAGTTGGAACCGAGATGCGGTCCCACGCCAGTATCCCAAAAATTCGGAAGCCCCGAGCACGATCAGCAATATGGCGGCCGCACGCCGACTACTATTTTCGCGAGGTGCGCGTAAAGAAGAATGGCCTCACACAGTCGTCCTCCGCAGCGACGGCTCCATGTTCGTCGTCGACCTCGACGCTCTTTTTCTCTCGTCGTCTTTCTCCCCCGCTCTCTCGCTCACCTGCTCGCTCGTTCGCTCGCATACTCGCTCGTTAGCTCCTCACGGGCCGAAATGGGTTAGGATCGCCGGGCTCGCAGGAGACACCCCGGGCACTCCCCCCGCGGGGCCCTCCCAGGAGTCCGTGCGTCCGATCTTCGCGCGGCGTCTCACCGCTTAGCGCTACTTAGCACAATAATTCTGCCGATCG